ATAAGAAAAGTGGCTAAAATTCCGTAAATACTCTGAAGTAGAACGTAAAATATCGGCAAACTCACGAAAGTAGTCAAAAACAAGCTACTGTAATTTTATTGGTTTATTATAGGGTCACGTGTTTCCGAGTTGCAACGTCAACAAACAATGTGTGACCACGAGAAAACGCGCGCGACTCGCGCTTGTTGCAGTTGCAGTCGCCTGCGCGGCTAGAAATCGCATAGTGTGACCAGGGCTTAACACAGAAGCTTAATGCAACATTTGTTTGGGTAACTATGCCTTGACTTTAGTCTGGCATAGCACTTGGAATCAGTATTAGCTGAGCATGACATTTGCAAAATAAAAATAAAAAATAATAACAATAATATTGTAATAATAATTTTTTTGCTACTTTGCATAAATGTCATAAAATAAAATATTATAATAATAATACAAAATTAAAATTGAGCAGTAATTAATATTAATTTATAATATTACGAATTAATTAATATTAATTTACAAACAAGTGCACTTTCAATTTGGAAACTAACTTGGAGACTGTACCTTTGTGTTTGTGTTCATTTGTAATTCAGTGTGCTTTCTTTTTCATTTTTCAAACCATGTTACATATATACTTGTGAGCACTATGTTATATGACATTATCACTTGTTTTATGTAAACATATCGCCAGCAGCCATTCTCTTTCTAAAAATAGATATTATGTCTAGTAAGATAATCCTCTATGCTTTCTTCTCTTCCGGGGCTCCTGTTTGACCTGTGGCAAAATGACCCTACTCTGTTCTTCTGATTGGCAATCACAACAGTAAAGTGAGGAAAAAATATATTAGTCTGAAATATTTGTAGGGGTGTAGAACTGAGATAGTCATTTAACTGAGAGTTGTTCAAATGAGAGATTTTAGACATTATCTCCCATATGCTTCAGTCAAAACAAGTGAAAAAGCCTCATAACTGAAACAGTTGCTTGAATGACAGGTCACTGTATCATAAATCAAATGAAGAGAGAGCAGAAGAAACTGAGTGGAATTCCATAGACTAGATAGTGAAAGTTAAAAGAATCTGAATATAGAGATCAGTTCATAGAGAGAGTGGACAGACACCTTGGAGAAATTGAAGATGATTCCAGTAGAGAGACATGGAACAGCATAGTAAATGAAATAAGAAATGTCAGATGAGATCTTTAGTAGAACAACTGTAAACCTAAATCTGACAAAGACTCTTGGTAGTGGAATGATGAAATCCTGAGGCTCAATAGAGAAAAGAAGGCTAAAAGGACAGGAGATGAGCAGGGCTGGCTCTAGGCGGGTACAATGCATGACCATCACGTAGGTGCTGAGGCACAAAAATTTTAAAAGGCAGCAAAATTTGCCTGATTTTTCCTTCATTCTAGTTTTATAAGACTAACTTCTGAAATATGCTTTTTTTGTTTTTACATTTTTCAATATGTCTATTTTGTTTGTGCAAAATAAAAATAATTTTTGATGATACAATAGCCACAATTATTTTTTTCTAAAATGTGTAATTTTCATTAGGCTTAAAATTGAAAAAAATTCAATGTGAAGTGACACAGATTGGAGGAAAATTTCAACATGGGCTAGGTGAAGTATAGACACCAAATCTGCAATCCACCTATCCAATACACTGAGGTCGTTTGATAACACCCAACAACTATAATCCAAGATAAAGGAAAATAATTGAAATTTTTGATTATTTAGGAATCTCACAAGAACTCTGCACATGAAGCATTAATTATGGAACATTTCAATCATTAATTCATTCTGTAAGTACTGAATTTCTTTTTTAATAATATTAAAAAAATCAAAAGTAACATAAAATAATTTTATATATTTTCTTAGCTAAAAATGGAAAAAAGGAAACTTACTGGATGGGAATACAAACAAAAGCAACAGTAAAAAGAGGAGCAAATAAAGAAAAATCAAATGTTGTTAGAAAATTATTTATTCAAAGCTAATTGTCAAGAAATGACCAACGAAAATCAAATAGATGTTAAAACAGTAAATTGGAATCTGAATTGTCAATTGAAACCATTGATTTTATTGCACTGGCATCTGAAAGTGTTGTCCAATTAAATGATTCGATCTCTCTTGTTGAAATTAGTCCAACAATTGAACCAGTAACTGAATTAGTTGCACCAGAAAATTGTTTTGATGTTGTTGATTGGCCAGAAACTTATGACCAAAGTTTTATTCAACAAATAAAGGGACCCTTCAGTTTTAATAATAATCTGAATCAATATCCTAAAAACTCTGAAAATTTATGTTTTTCTCATCACCAACTGAAAACAAAATTTGATAGTTTTTATCAAAAAAATCAAAAATTGTGATGGATTCACCTGTAATTTTTGTAATTGCATCATTAAATTCTTTTGCAACATCTTGTAGTGCTTCATAAATTTTAGATAATTCAAATCTTAAAGTCTTAATGGCAATAATATAACTTTCCAGCATGTGTCACTTAATGATTTGACTGAAAATGATGGACACTTAGAGTGTAAGCTTCCCCATCTTTTTGTAGAAGCTGAAAAATATTTGAAAACCTGTTTAATACTGTTGAAAAATAGTGCAATTTGGGATGTACAGGTACTGTGTACTGAATCAACCACCACTAAATTCAAAGTGTGATTGAGGCCTGGAATGTATGGCACATTGCTTGTGGATTTTTTTTTCAAAATATGTGTGTGAATGCCATTTTGAATACCTTTCATGTTGGCACCATTATCATAACTCCTGATGTTCTCTACTGATAAATTATATTTTTCCAATGAATCAATGATGGCATGTGTCAATTTAATTCCTGTTGAATCTTCAATTAAATGAAATCCAAGAAAACTTTCATTAATTTGATTATTATTGGGATCCCCTTCAACATATCAAACCATAATTGACATTTGATCATTGACTGTACAATAGACAATTGTGTCTATTGTACAGTCAATGATCAATATATAATAATTAGAAATCTTGCACTTTTATCAAAATTTTACTTTTGATGCTTTGTCTGATCAGTTCCAAAATTTCATTTTGAATGGTTTTTCCTAAATAGTGAACAGAATTCAGTTTTTCTTTAGCTCTCATTAAATGTTTTTCCATAAATGGATCAAATTCAGCTAAAAATTCCTGTTATTTTCTTCATAAACTTTCTCTGATGAATCTCTAAATGAGATATTTTGTTGTGCCATCATCATCGTCAATGCAATCAATCTTCTTAAAACCTTATCCCAATGTTCCACTTCCTTTTCCAAACTTTTATTCATCAAAGTGTCCACTGATATTCCTTTTTGCAATCGATTTTTCAGTTCCTTCCACTTGCTAAAACTATCAAAATGTTCAACACTTTGCTCATGTCTTTTTAAAATTTGAGAAATGTGTCACCAATCGTTGATACTGTTTCAAGCCAACATGACTGTAATTGAACCAAATATTTTACAGCAATAACAAAAGGCCTTATCAGCCTTTTTCAAATAAACCAAACACAATCTTTGAATGTGTTCACCATTTTCCATGATTCGGTGAAAATAGTGATGATGGAACATTTTGCTTTTAATATATACTGTATAATGCACTATAACACAAAAAAAAAAGGCTTTGTTTTAAAGGTCAGGAATGGATTAATCCATATTAGAGTAGAATCTCATTTTAATGAATCACAGAGCAATGGATTTTTCAGAATAACAGATTTTTCCTCCAGGTCCTGCCAAATCAATGTAACTTTACCTCTTTTTAGAGGATCTGTAACTCTGAATAATGGATTTTTTCTAGCTCCATGTTTGGTAAACATATTTTTTCAACCTTTGATTAAGAATTGGATGTTTCTGGATACCGAATTCAAAAAAATACATTGCATGCTGTGCAAACTAAGTGCATAATTGTCACATGACAGCCATGCATTAAAGCCCTCCTGTAGTGCATTGATTAGTGAAGGGGAACTACTTCTAGCTTAACAATTCTGGATATGCAAGGGTGTGAAACAAAGTTATGCTGCGCCTTTGTTGCAGACACATGTTTGGGAATATTGCACCTTGAAATCATGCTCCTATAATAGTAGCATTTCATACTGATAATGCCACCAAAAGGAGCCCAGAAATGTCATGTCATCAAAGCAAACCAAGATGGACAAGTATTTTAACATATCATGACGTGCTAATGATCATATGTACTTTGTCACTTTTTGGCATATAATGCATACAGTTTCTGTTAGCTTTGTTACAACATACTGTATGAGCTTGTAATATACATGTTTATATAAAATAAAAGATAAAAATCTCTGATCCTTTCAAAACCTTTGTGTTTCCAGTAAGGTACAATGTTTACTTGAGTGAACAAACATTTTTGAAACTCCAATGGGTTCTATTTCAGGTTCAATGGTGTTCCAACTTTGAAATGCCAAGAATTCAAATATTTAAATACCAGATAATTCAAGAATTCGAATTTCTGATAGAAATCTCAAGAGACTGAATACTTTCAAGTACAGATGTTTTTTATGTAAGAGGTTTAAAAACGAAAATTTTTTCAAATAACAGATATTTTCCTGAAGTGTCAGAAATCTGTTGTTCTCAATATAACAGATTTTTGGAACAATTGATGATTTTTGGTGCCCCAAGTGATCTGTTAAAACAAATTTCTACTGTATAATGTTTCTTATGGGAAAATTTGTTTTGGTTTGAGAACAAATCAGTTTTTGAAAAACTTTTAGGAATAAATTAAGTTTGAAAACAGAGATTTGACTATATATACAAATAAAATAAAACTTAAAAGAAAATTTGGCTTTTGCCATTTGATGGTATGACCATTGATTTACTGTAAAGTTTGCTTAATAAGAACCCTTCAACTTTGTATTAATTTGGTTTAACTGTATATGAGATTATTTTTCATTACAAATTTTAAATACTTTTATTATAAAAATATTCTAAATCAAACACTACATAGATTTTATTTATTAATTAATTACATATTAATATAATTATTGAATTTTATATTATTTACCTTTAGGTGGAAAATAAGACTTGCTTTCAGCTTTATGAGGCCAATCAACTACCAATGGTCCAAAACGGCGGAAACTGGCAGTGATTTCCTCTGTAAATATAATGAAAGTTGTTATTGTTTGTATATTTAACTACAAAATATTTTCATAGAGTAATTGTTAATCAATTATGTTTATTTTATTTATACATTACTTTCTCTCTTAGAAAGCTAATTTTAAGTGAACTTTTCATATTCAATTTAATTCATATTTTTCATAAAATTTATAATACACTAATTTCACTTATATTTCATTCATAGAATACAATGAAATTATGTTCTTTAAAAAAAAAAAGATATCTGACGATAAAAATGCTGAAACAAAATTTAAAGAAAATTAAGCAATGATCTACCCTATATACGAATATAAACTACATGTGAATTCCATGACAAAATGGATTAGAAATACTCAATAAAAATGGACTATTTAATTATAATACTTCAATTTATAAATGAAATACAAGTCACGTACCAAAAGGAAGGTACAGTACAATCTTTTATAACAATGTAATAACAAATTACATTAGAAAATTAAATTAGCCACTTGAAAGTACATGGTCTAAGCTATTTTTCTATATATTTGTCATTGTTTTCTAAACACTTTTCCCAGTATTAGACAAGGGAAAAAATTCATTTCTGAAAAAATCTCCACTTAATGATTTGAACAAGTCCATGACTGCATCTTTAACTTTATCATCATCTGAAAAATGTAAGCCATCAAGATGTTTTTAACAGATCCAAAAAACTAAAAATCAGAGAGTACTAAGTCTGGACTATGTGCAGGATGGTACATTTGCTGCAAAATAACAAACTTCCTATATTGCACTGTAAGGAGTCAAGTATGGCCATTATCTTTTATTTTTGGAGATTTTATTTAGTTAACATTATCATTTATTTTGGGGACATTTTATTTTGTTTAAAGAACAAAATCTCCACACCTTACTGGTCCTAAACTTACTGTTAACATGACTGACTCGTAAAACTAACTTTATCAATCTCAAAACAGCATCGCAGATTGAGTAATCTCCAAATGAAGTTAAAGAATTGTCTCAATCCTTCTAAAAATCAGAAAACTTTTCATTTTGAAAGGATTGGAATGACTATTAGAAAAGAAAAGACTGCAAAGATAAAATAATACTGTTAGCATATACTGTACATAATTAAATGAGATAGAGTGACATGTTCAGTTGTGATGTCACACCCAAGATGAATAAAAACCCCAATAAAGTTGAAGACAATGAAGTAAAGCTGCTGAGAGTAAGCAAGGTGATTTCCAAAGTGAGCTCTGTTGATGAAAGGATTTTCTGGTGTTTTTGGTGTGGCAGTTAGATGGTTTAGATTGTAAGAGTTCTTCATTTGTAAGTAATCTAAAGCTGATCTACTTTGTCAGTTCTTGTGGAGAATTAATTTTAAGTTAGATTTAAAAGTTAGATTCCTCAGTTATGAGGAATGTTTTGTGAAAATTAGTTTTGTTTTTGATTTGAACTAATTATATTTCTGATTTTTATAACTTTTCTGTGATCTATTATCACTAATATAGCTTCATGATTTTTATATTAATCCATTTGTACATTCCTTGTTTGTGACATTTTCAATAAATTCTTGTTTCTCCTGATGCAGAGTCAATTATTTTTGGATTTTTCTTGTAATAAGCATTATTTCAAGCTAAGCCATTTGTGTTAATTCTGTCCATTTTCAAAGTCTAGGCCTGACATTCAACTGACCCTCATCTTTCACTGTTTTTGTAATACCATTTCATTATGTTTAGTTCTGGACTGATAAACAGAATTCAAACATCAGAATTCAAACAGGCTAAAAAAGTATGAATGGACCATCCTGAATATAGTCTGGATACAACACTATTCAAAAACTGGATGTGATATTTCAAAATAACACACTAAAACCAAAAATATCCAGCAAGAAATAACTTTAATAAATTAAAATGAACATTTTTGACAGTTTTAAACCATCATCATCAGGTTCAGTTAAAATAGCATACTATGTTTGCTTGTGTAAACTAGGATTTCTCATTTCCCAGTCCTTTGCTTGTCCTGGGATTTTGAGAAAAAAAGTGTTCTGTATCCCAGGAGTTCAGTAAATCCAGGGATATAATGTGAGGTTCCAGAACAAATCAAAACTAAACTTTAATTTTTACATGTTAAAAGCAAAAATTGTCAAGTTGGACTAAAGGTCATGTTAGATATGTAAAGGAGAAGAGAAAAAGAAAAAAACAGTAGTTGTTAAAATAAATGTGAAGACTATAACACTTATGTGTTGTGGCATTACAGGAGTGAAGTCTTGGAGAATGAACTCGTCCGACTTTAGAAAATGAACTCGTCCGCAAGTACTTTCAGTAGTATATAACTACCATCTTCAAGCGGTCTATCGAATACAACAGATTAAGATTTATGAACTCTGATCCGACGATTTCACAAATTTCAGTTAAACCGTCAGAAATATTGTTCGATAATTTCGAAAATCTGAATTTTGTGAAACCATCAGATCAGAGTTCAAAAATCTTAATCTGTTGTATTCGATAGACCGCCTGAAAACAGTAGTTATATACTACTGAAAGTTCTAGTGGACGAGTTCATTTTCTAAAGTCGAATGAGTTCATTCTCCAAGACTCCACTCCTGTAACACCACAACACGTAAGTGTTATAATCATATAATAAACATTAGCGTGAAGTGACAGTGTATTATAAAATGTGAAGATGAATGACATAATGGATCACGTGGAATGTCGGCCAGGGAAGATAGAACTCTGACACGAGTGCTCATAAACAATCGATCTAGGTTAAAGTTGAAAGATTAGATGGCTAGAAAACATCATGTTTAGTCATTAAAATCCAAAAATTGACAGAAAATAAAAACAGTGGGCTGAATTATGAGTACATGACTTATGGATCTATCAACAAAATCCAGTCAGAGTTGATAAATAGGTAACGGACAGACACTACAAAATGGACCTTTATTGTGATCTGAAGTCTTGGATTTTACCTAAAAACAAAAGGGAGACCAATCGGGAAGCAAGGAAGGGAATATAGAACCAATCAAAAGGCAAGGTTTGAGGAAAAAATCCTATTAAATCCCTGAATCTCAAGGTCAAAAGGATGGTTCTCTTCCAATTTTGGTGGTGGTTGACCAGTGTCACATCCTCTCCAAACTGTTCCAACTCATCCAACCTATCTGGACATTTAAGGACTCATGATTAGGAAAGCCATCTCGCCTTTGTCTTGCCTCAGGCTGCACCATCACCATCGACTATCAAGCAACTCTGCAAGATCATCGGTTATCGTATCAAGTCGCCCAATCTTCAAAACAGACTATTCTGTTTGTAGTGTAAGTTATTTTATGTCAAAAACAAATAGTTTTGTAAGGATATATGTCATCTTTGCCTGCAGCATCACCACCCACATAAAATCAAGCCTTAAGCTTTTCCTGATGTGCAATTAACTGTTTGCCCCTAAAAGTCACATCTTACAATAATTAATTATTTTTAAGATATAAATAAATCTTGAAATTGAATGATATTAAATTACTTAAAAAATGAAAAATAATTATATGTCTTGTAACCTCCAAAATATAAAATAATACTGTGTAAAATATATATTAAAAATTACCTTTGAATTACATAGAAATTTTCACACACAGAAAAAATTTATTAGAGTTTGTTGCAAACTGCTTACAACAAAAAAAAAATCTCTGAATTGGGTTGAAAATTAAAAGAAAAAAATGAACTTAGNCCAAAAAAAAAAAATAGAATAGGAAATTCAGAGTTAATAGTCAGTTCAAATTAAATATTTAAAACAAAACTTGTAATCTACAGAAATGTATTAAATAACTATACAAAGAAAATTCAAGAACTTCAACTGACTACCTAGAATCACACACACAAGATGCTTTATAACTGGAGTAACACAAAATAAATCAAGTTTCCAATTGTTTTCAAGCATTATTATTTATCATTACGGAAAATCTTTTTAAAATTTAATTAAATTATAAAAAATTAAATAAACTATCATAAAGTCTAACATTTGAAATTCTAAGTGTGTTCACTTTACTTTGACTGCCAAACATAATAATTAGATATTCTGTTTTCTGTTTCATTACATAAGAGAGAACGTAAACTGTATTGAAATACAAAAAAGAATATTTCTGACAAATCTAATAACAAACACATCTAAAATTAAGTCTAATCTTCAGTAAGCCTTGACTTCTATTCATTAGACAATATTTACATATTCAAATCAATTAAAATATCCTCATCATTATAACATCGTAAACAAAACAGGTACATAATTGGAAACAAACTCCCTTTCATCATTAACAAATGTCAAAAAGTGATATTTTCCTCTTAAGAAAGTACTAGTGTTTCAACATTTTCAATTTTTATGATAATAGAGTAACACAATTTCTATATGAATCTTTATGTTTCTGTTGAAATTAAATTTAAAAGAAAATTTCCATAATAGTGTAGAATAATGCTTGAAAATTAGATTTATTATACATTGTTCTAATAAAGCATCTTTTTTTGTGTGGTTTAATTATGCTAAAAGTTTATTCTTTATTCATAAAACTTTTTGGTATATCTTATGTATCTTCAGCTAATTTAACAAAAAGCAAAAAAAAAAAAAAACTAGTTTCAAGATACATTATAAATTAAATAGCAAAACCATCATTTTTTTAAAAATAATTTATAATTAAAGATATCTTAATTATAATCACTCATTAATTTTTTACAGCAGTATAAGTTATCTTTGATTACATTCACAAGCTAATGATTAATAAATAATAACAACAATAACCTACATTTAATATAATTAATTTAATTAAGATAATTAATTTGAGACTGCTGTTTTTATTTTTAAATTTTCTTTGTTCAAAACATCTGCAATAGCAATCATCTACAAAATGAGATGTACCAAAAAAGATTTTTGAAAGAGAGCAAACTTCTAACTATTCATGATGGATTTAATTTTTCTGATGAATAATTTCATTGAAAATTAAGAATGTTTCTAATTCTATTTGTTATTTTCAAAGATTAAAATATAAAAATGA